CTGCTGCTAATGTCGCCCAACAAAATGTTGCCTAACGCATTGGAATAATTGTGAACGATAAAAAGCTCCGAAATCCAGTCATTTAAAAGACCACTAAGGGTTTGCAAATTTAACAACAACAACTAGCGTACAATGTCAACCGCAACTGTACTTTTTATTATTTTTCGTTTTCGCTCTATGAGTTGCGAGACCACAGAGAATTGCTGGAGTTAGTTTGTTTTATTGCAATCGCCGTCCACCATCACGGGTCCCGCTGTGAAATTTACCGATACCGTCTTCTTTCCTTTACAATTTTCCGTGCATTTTGTTGGTGTTTTATTTGCAATGGATTTATAACGGCAAATCACTGTTGAATTTCTCACCGAACTATTTTGAACTTATGCTTGAAATTTTCTACTGGGTATGTTCGTGTTTGCATATCCAGCGATGTTATTTTGTGCTCCTGCAACATGTTGCTACAGAGTATAAAAGTTTTGTTCACATAACGGTTGTTCGTATGACCTAAGATAAATTGACATATTTTAATGACAAAAAAAAAAGGACGAGTTCGTAGATGGCTGTAATCGGATCGCTGCCACGCCCACGCCAGCCGTAAACTTTTAAGGTAATAGTTGAGTTACGTTATGTTGGGCTAAAGTTTTGCAAATGACTTATGCAGTTTTACACCCAAGTAGCTCGACCCATCGGGTTTTGACTTCCCAACGTTGATCACGATTTCGGATGTTGAATCAGTAACTGAACGCTCCAGAGACATTAAATTTTAACCCGGTGACAACATGAGAGGCCTTTAAAGGGGGCAGTGAGAAAAATTGGACGATGTGCGTGGTACCGAAATTTTAAATTTCATATGATTCTTTCATTTTCCGATATACAAATCAAGAAGAAATGAATATAACGGAATAAGACTAGGTACCGAATATTTAGAATCTGGTACCTTTAGTTGACTTTTAAACGAAAACGTCGGACAATGTGTGATATATATGTGTAATTAAAATTTAGAGATACTTTTTCCTGCTAATGGCTTTTCTGTGTATCAAAAATGGGTTGAATCGTGTCAATACTTTCCTTAACCCCCATATATCAAACAAAACGATTTTCGAACTTACATTTGGCTTTATACCGCAGATATCGGCCAACATGTGAGTTATCTCTATGAAAATGAGAGGCAGGCCGTCTTTTGCTGATAACAGGGCATATATATAGTGTCTAAAATGGATAAAATTGGTCGCAAACTCGTCCTAAACCCCAAATAGCAAACACATAACATTCGGGTGACTTTACTCCATAGGATTGGCGATGGCACTTTAATGAATCTCCGAGAACATTTTATTAGTATGTGGCATATTAATAGTATGACGTATGGACAAAATGAGATAAAATCGGCTCAATGCCACCCCAATTCCCATATCTTCCTGTAAGAATTTCTCGAACTTTGATTCTTGCAAGTAAGAGTATAAAACCTACGGTTTCACTCGAACTTGGCGCTTCCTTACTGGTTATAAGTGCGTTTGTGTCCACCACATGCGGCTTTTATGATTCCAAATTAACCGACAATTTGTGTAAGTGGCAATTAAAGTGGCGAAAGGCGTGAAAGGATTTCAGTTGTAAGGAATTATTTGCAATATTCTGTTGTTGACTACACACTGGCCGACACACCAACACACACACTCATAACTAGTGCGTACACTTACACACACTTTCATGGCTTTGCTACATACACGTCATCCTACATAAATAATTGGCGCAGGGTTAAGTCTGAGTGGCCATTGATGGCGAAGGCCAGACAGGTGTTTCACAAGTTCAACGCCAAGTGGTTGGGGGGCTGCGGTTATGTTACTATTATTATTTGCTTCAACAGCGATTATGAGGCGTCAAGTACCACAAAAAGCATTTTAACTTTTTGCGCTCACACACACACACACACACATACGCATTCGTGAAATGTTATTAATATTTACAGTAATTTGCTAGTCACAAGTTTGCAAGCATTTTGCAAGCGAAAGTAAGTATTCTTAGTAGGGAGATCGTAGCAGGAGATTTTCGCAATTTCACGCAACTTTAAATATTTTCTGCTTCATTGGAAGATTTTGGAACAACAGAGAGCAAAAATTAGAAGTTATTTTTATGTTCAAATATCCCATTTGTGGGTTAATTTAAGCAAACCACCTTGCCCTCGCTTACTGATTACCTTGTGTACCCTTTAAAGAATTTAGTAAAAATATATAAAACATTGGAAACTACAAAACCAATCACACTTTTTAATAAAAATTGCCCAGATATGTTTATTTCAATTATTTGCACGCTTCTACATAACAGTCACACAGCATGCAACAGTCAGCCTTGCATCCTTTGCATTCAGTTATTTCCCGATTGCCTTGAGTTTGTTGTTGATCCTAATCTAATCAGCGTGTCAGAAGTGACATGTAATTGTGACAGCTAAATATGACATTTAAACTGATGGTTTTGGCGCATTAGGAGTATACGGTTTTGATGGTGTAAATACGGGCAGGTCAAGGATTCCAGTGTCATGCTTGAAGGCGCATTTTTATATACACAAGTGAATGGATTGATGGATGGTGAGTCCATATTCATATTCGATGCATTCTCACATGTAAGTGGTGCATATATAGTTTACGGTTAGAATTCGGTTTATAAAGGTGCGAAAGATAGTATAAAAAACTTTTAATTTTTTAAAAAACCTCGCAAAAGGTTAATTACCTCAGGAAATGTTCTTGACTTCGCTAAAAGTAAAAAAGAGTCATTGAAGGTAAAAAAAAAACCTCATTGAATTTACCAATAGTCAATAATAGGTTGTTGACATCGCTAAAGGTTAACAAAGTGTTCATTGGTAAATAAAGGGTTGATGACCTCAACAAACCGTGAAGGTTTCTTAACCTCGCTAAAGATGTCGATTTCGGCTCACAATACTGCATAGGTAAGCTTTGGGGCCTAAAGATATAATGCCAGCGCAAGAATCGGTAATAAAAAGACATCTAGTGAAATCAAACTCATATCATTTTATTATTTAACCTAAGAAAACTTAGTGGAGTGTATGGAACAGAGAAATATTCTCCTTTATAACTCCATTATTTTTTCCTTAGAGTTCTTACTAAATTCTGTAAAAACTCGACGAAATATGAGTAATATACTCCAATATTCTCCTCTTCTATGGATCTTGGTCGTTAATAACTTGAGCATCGTGGTTGCCGGTGATTGCCTATGTAGACGATGGCACTTGTGGTTAAAGGAAAGCCCCTGAGAGCCATGCACAAATTGATGCAGTTGTATCTCAGCGTCGGAACAAATCAACCGAAGTAAAACTATCTCGTTTTATTTACTAGAATATATACGGAGAATACAGTGCAATATCTAGGGTTCCCTAGGTAGGAAGCTTTTAGTAGCTCTCTATCAATTCCAGCTTCAGACATCCTGCCTATCGCATTGTTCCCCCAAACGAGGTTGCAACCAGTATGGTAGCAGCCTCCTTCAGAGAAATAACCATCCACTCAGACAGCAGAGCGGCGATACTGGTCTTGAACTCATTAGGAGTTGGTCAAGGAGTGAATAACCTCTGACTGAAATGGGAACCATTACATATAGCAAACGCAGGAAATTGTAAAGCTTATGAGTTAGCAAGAAAAGACGCATGTGCTGTCGCAAAAGTCTTTTAGCCCCAGCTCATTCGCAAGAGATCTTGTGATCTCTTGACCCCCAGTAAGGCTAACCTTTTTCTGGTTGGGGGGGTTTTAACAGACCAAGCCGTTAGAGAGCGTAAATGAATCGAGGGCTCTTCAAAGGTCTCCGGTACTGGAATAGTTCACACTGTATTTTTTTAATACGGTTACGATTTTCTTTCACATCTGTTTGTTATTGTATGAAATTATTTAGTATTCCTTTACTGATTTTTCTGAGACAATATTAAAATACAAATAATTCTTACTATCATACGAAATCCCTAGTTGCTAGAGTTTTTTTTCGAATTTATTGTAATTTCAATTATAATAAATAATAATAAAATTTAAGGTTTGTTTTAAACTTACAATTAAATCAAGACTAAACTTAACACCCTGTGTCCAACAGTTCCCCCAAACTAAACATTAATCACACTTTGACTAGCCATGTGATTTCTCGCATGCGACAAAAGAGTCGCACTAAACCTTTGACGGCTGGCAATGCTGCTTACAATCCACAACGCACGGTTGCACTAGGCATTTCGTTTGCAGCGACGAAAACAACAAAAATGTTTAGTTGATTTTGAATCGTCGTGCATGAATATTGTCTGTGAATATTTTGCGCTATTTTTTTTTTAATACATTGTGACATTCGGGCGGAAAATACAATGAAGTAGCCGATTTGCCGGTTGTTATTTTATCTATTCAGCTATTTTAATAGTTTGTGTGTGAGGACTTTTAGTTGCGATAAACAATAAATTAAATAAGAAGGTGTCTGCTTGTGGCGCTATACATCAATGTCTGCTGGTATGTGAGTGTTGGTGAAATATATCCGAAAATTATTAAATCCGACATATTGAAAGTGTACAAAAATGTGTATGCTTCCGAAAGTTAAAAGTTTTCTGATTTGCAAAAGCAAAACAAATGCTAAACACAAGATTTAAAATAAATTATTTTTTTGAGATTTGCAAACGAAAGAGGAAATGAAGAAAGAAAAAAAGCGCAATTATGAGAATAAAAAGTATTGTTGCTAATTTTGTTTTGAAGTGTGAGTTGCAAGTTGGCAAACATGAAACATAGCATACGCACACATGCAAGTGTTGAAATGCATATGCGTCTGCTGGAATTACCCAGCCAACAAATCGAATTGTGAAACAAGTTGCAATTACAATTGCATTTTTCTCTACCTTAATTATTATTTTGTTAAAAGTGAACAATGAAAGTTGAAACAATTATTAAGTGCGATCATTTTGAAAATAGTAATACTGCCAATAAGTCTGGAATTCATTTGTGTATACAGCTTTTCATTAATTTCGTTTTCGCTGTTTCCACCACTTATCGTTAATACCACTACAATTCTATACGAATGCAAGTGTGAAGTGCAAAAAGCATAAAAACCGGTTCGACCACTTCAACCAACAAGGCAGCCCCAGCAAACGAAATGCTATTAACAAACGGGTGGTCACACAGCTGGACAGACAGTTCAAACGGCCTGTCTGCCTGCCTGCCTGCCTGCATGCTGGACTTGTCGTTATTGCCTTTCAGGCCCTAAACCGAAAAGTGAATGGAAAAGCAGAAAATAAATAATAAATACATACAACCCAGTAAACAGTGGGAAAGCAAAACTCCGATAAGCAGAAGTGCAAGTGGAGAAACAAATATTGTTGTAACCAGAAATCATAAGTAAAATGTGTTTGTTCAGTTGTTGCACTGTTGTGTAGTAATTTCCATTCGCCGCCATTGCGTTTTTTTTATTGCTTTGCACAGCCGTGTTGTGCATTTAATGGCGCTTATGTCTGCATTTTGAATAGTTTTGCTTTTCCGTCTGGCCAAAAAGTGCATTCAACAAGCCGGCGATCACACAGAAATACGCGTAAATTTTTGAATTCAGTTCTCTAAACTAATATCACATAAAAAAAGTGAAATTCAAGAACCTAACATTTTGTATACTAAATTTTCTATTCGCAGTTTGTTTGTGTATCTACATGTCTGCTAGTTGAGACAGGTGTCTGCTGATATAATGAAATGAGAAATTAAATAATAAATCGTGATATGATACCATTTTTGAAACAAAAACCATGCTCTGCATTTCTTGCATTAAGTTTTTTACACACTAGTTTTTCATACGCCCAATCAAGCAAATTTCATGTAGTCGGTTATTTGATACATTTTTTGCCCTCACTTAAAAAAATTGTTAATTTGTGATAACATTTTCTGTAAAATATTCCTCTAACGAGTTTATGCAAGTTGTTGATTATCGTTTGATGCTAAATTATGTCACTAATATACTCATTTTTCCTTAAAGTTCTTTACCTTTTTAGAAAATATAAAATTGAATACTAAGAATGGTTAACAGTTACCTAAAGTGCAAAATGTTAGTTTTTACCGTGCCCAATCTTATCTTGTTTATGTACCTATCTTTACACCTGCTTGTCTTATCTCAACCGCCGATAACACATATTAACAAACTTTATAACAATATGTGTATGAAATTAACTACTTTAAATTTTTTTTTTCAACACGGTATATTTGTTCCAGAAAAACGGTGTAAAGAAAGACAATTTCCAATTATGTACTCTGACCATTAAAAAGGGAATTCCTGTAAATTTGTGATATGAACATATTTGCAAAAATTAAATGTGACAAACAAAATTTAAGTCCAAAAATTTTTTAAACGTAGTAAATGAAAAAATCGTCTAAAAAATTCCAAATTGTAAATAAAACGCAAAATTTAATTTAATTTAATTATTCATAAATGCCTTCAAAGGTCTGATAGGGATTAGACGTAATAGACTTACGCCAACGATTATCCCAATCCTCGAAACGCTTCTCATAAGTACTTTTTGGAATGGCTTTCATCTCCTTCAGCGAATTTTGTTTTATCCCTTCGATCGACTGAAAACGGATTCCACGGAGGTGCAGTTTCAGATTGGGGAACAAGAAAAAATCACATGAAGCTAAATCTGTTTAATACTATGGTTGATCGTGGTTGCATCTTTTGGCTTTACAAATTTTGGATGATTTGAGACAAATTTATTGTAAAATTCGCAACTCACTACCGACTTAAGGAGCTGCTGTAAACTATAGTAATTAAGGACAGTCCTACCAACTTAGCGAAATACATTTTTTCCAAATATCATTTACCCGAGAAATTTAATTACAATTCCTGGGTGCTTTTTTGTCTCAATCTTTTTATGTACATATATGTGATTTAAAAATTATTTATACATAATATTCTCACAATTATATAATACAGCAGTATCAGCAGTTTCAGAAGCTGCTTTAAAAACAAAAAAACAAATAAATACTCTAAAGTCCAAAACTTAAAAATGCTTATGCTTATCTGGCAACTATGTTTCAATTCGTTGAGCATTTAATTTTATATTTTGCCGCTATTGACTTTTTGCCCTTTATATTCACTATTCTACATTTCACTTCTCAAGTCTAGACAATAAAGCCGCACATATCCATACATAAACAACTGTATATCGCGGACTTACACCCGTTTCATTTCGGCCGTCTCCTTTAAAGTAAATTCCAATTCAGTCCAACGGCAACCCTTGGCACGGGCGACGTGCAATTGAAAAATTTATTATTAAAATATCCCCAACTATTGTACATAAACATGAGCATTTCTTCACAGCTTTGCTCTGCTGATGCTGGGGGATGCAAACTTGGCGTGGAATATCGAACCGCTGCTCGTCGCACAGATGTACGCAGAAGCGTGGATCCACATGCTGGCTTCGCTATACCCAGCTACAATTTACTTGCTTTACTTACTGCACACATACATACACGCATAAAATACCAATGTGTGTGTATTCGCAGTGGGAATGCGTTGCAATTGTGCTTAATTTTTTATTAGTGTTGTTGCTGTTTTGTTGTGTCTGTGTCATTGTACTTTGGAGTATTGCTTCAATGCCACTCCCACTCCACAACATCAGTTCGATGTGTGTCTATAGCAGCTTGAGCGCAAATCGCAATCTTTTTTCCTTTATCAAAAATTTGCCCTCCAACCAATGCCCGTAATGCTTGTGTTTGCAGGCCGTGTTGTGTTTGGGAATGTCATCGCGTTGTCCACGTCCCCCATCTGCGCCGGCTCCATCTGCACATTGTCTGCTGTCGCTCTTCGTGGCGCGGCTGTTCATTCGCCTTTTCTGTGGACATTGCTATTCCGTGCGCGTCCTTCTGCCTTTTGCCTTCGTCGTTGCATATTTTATGCGTTCGCCATTCCAGTATTTTCTCATTGATACGTTAGGTCGTTGTCGTTGCCTTTGTTGCCTTCGCTATGTGTTTTTGTTGCACCAGCTCGCATATTTACAATATGTGGCATGCCACACAAACGAATGTTGAAATATCAATTTTGAAAATTCCTCTGACTTATTTAAGTTTATTGTGATTTTGCGTTTGCACTTTGTACTTTGTATCCTGGCCTCATAGACATGTTCCGGTGTGCGTTGAAATGCTGCGAATTCTTTACAGACAGCTCATTTGAGCGGTGATTGTGGTGTTTCAAACGATTCGCAATAACTTCCATATGGAAAAATATTTTTTATTAGCTTGTTTGAAGGGCAATTGTTTATTTTTTTCTTGCGACACCTAAATTCAAATATAAATCGGAGAATAGGTTAGATGGCTGATAAGATCACACGTGGACTTTTATATGTAGTCCTTTGTGAAGTCATAGAAAAGAAGAACTCCAGTTCGAGCTTGTAAATTAGAAAAACGCTTAGCAGCCAATAGAGAATTTCACAGGCACTAATTTCCATTTCCGCCAGTTCGGTGGGATGTCTGAAGGTATGCCTTCCTAAGTATTTAGTATTTATCTCCTAAGCGCGGCACAGTCAAGAAGGAGTTGTGTCCTCCGCATCCATACAGTTTCTACAGATGGCGACTGGTAGGATTACCAGCCGTACCGTTCCCACGACAGTCGGGTCTACGAAAACGGAACGGCCCCGGATTTTTATCCGGCCAAGCACTGTCAACTCGGCAGAATTCTGCCGTTACAACAACAACAACAACATTGCCAGCCGTACTGCTTGGACACCAATAGGGCAAATGCCTGTTAAAAGCCCCACAACTAGGGAGAGGCTAGTCTAACTGCGGACAAAGACTTCACTACATCTAAGAATTACCGATTACCGATTTAAAAGGGGTTAGATCATCGAAATAATAGCCCCTGGCCGGATAAAATCCGGGTCAATTCCGGTTAACCGGTTGTTGTTGGAATCGCATCTAAAAAACAGTCAGCCAGTTCATGCTGATATGCTTTCACAGAAATCATCACTGCAGTCACCTGCTTCGAGCGGAACCGCCTCCTAGTACATCAAGAGGTCATTCCTCAGCTACGTCGACCCCGTCGAAAACGCACGTTTCTTGGACCTTCCGTTAGATGACGTCGACGACAATTTAGCTAATCCTTACCATTCTAACGGAGACTGCTAAAACAACAAAAACAACAGATAAATAGATGTCTTTCGATCAATCTAGGGCCAAAAGGCTTTTGGAACAACGCATATACCGATGCTGGGCCAACGCTGGCTAAGCCCAGCTGTCTAGTAGTAGAACACAAGAGGAGGGAGAGTTTAGGCACCCCTTGACAGCTCTGAACGCACTGTTAAGTGGCTTCAAGGCTCGTATCGCCGCTCTGCTATCTGAGTGGACGATCACTTCTCTGAGTGTGGCGGTACTCCGGGGCAGTAAATCCATTGCTACCATAATGGCTGCATTCTCGGTTTGGAAAACACTGCAATAGTCAGGAAGTCTGAAGCCGAAGTTGATAGAGAGCTCGGATGAGTCGCCAGCATTTAAATTTTCGCAATATCTTAAATTTAACTGCTTTCGCAGAAATTATAAGTTTTGTCTCAAATTTAGTATAAAAATGCTGGAATAAACACGGAAATTCTTATTAAACGCAGCTCGACTTCTAATAAATGCTTTATGAATAACTAATTACTTACGATTTCATAAGAATTAAAGATATATTGTCCAAATGCACAAAGAAATGGCATATTATTTGCAATAATTTCTACTTATATTCCCATTGTTGCTTTTGAAATTGAATATACACCTGCTCATGTACATATATGTATGTATATGTATGCATTTATATACCTACCGATGATTGTGTGCGGGAATTTGCAAGGCGAAATTCTTGAGTTTCGCCAAATCGCATTAGCGGTCATTACGCCCACCAACTTGCCCACTGACGAAGTGTAGACGCTCCCACACAACACTCGTCGGCTTATGACATCTGATACTAATCAAATGTCACCTGGTCATTTTTTTTATACCATTTGTTCACAAATTAAATAAAATGTGAATTTTTAAAACTATTTTTGGTTGCTTGACGCTCATGGCGACGTTATAAGAGCAAAGTGTTGTGTCACCTCCACATGAACCACTGCAGTTATGCGAGCGAAGACTGGAACAGTTCTCATAACTTGACGAGAACATAGCAGAAGTGCTCAAAATTAGTGCAAATCTGCGTTTGAATTTTTGAATGACGTTACTGTAAAACACGACACAGCCAAGCGAAAGGTATTCAATCGGCTGAAGAAAACTCGTCGAAAGCAAAGTAAAAGCATAAACAGCAGCAACAACAACTGCAGAGCATAATAACAATAATAATAAGTAGAACACTCACAGTTGGGGTGTTTAAAAGTCGGTAAACTATGGAACTATGAGTTCGTTGAACTGAAATTTTCTTGCAAGTACCGCTGGGCCAACGCCATCGTCAGCGCCGCCGCACTTCTACTTCCATGGCTACTACACTTCGCTGCTTGGTTGCTTTTGCTGCTCTTTTCGAGCATCGAACACCTCTTGGCTGGCTGCTTGCGGTTTTGTGGTTTTATTTTCTTTCTGCGCTTATTTCGTGCCACTGTTTTGCTCGTGCAAAATTTTTTTATATTTCATTCTCCCATTCTTCGCATTCGCACTTTGTTGTGCTTGCAGATACAGTTTATTTTTGTTCTGTACTTAGGTGCGCGATACAATTACGTGCCGTGTCTGCCTACTTGCCAGTCAGCTGTTATCTGCGCCGTTGTTTTTGCAATGTTTAATGATTTTAGTGTGTCAGTAGTTGACAGCAGTTGGTTTTTTCGCTGCTTGACTGGCTGCCAGTTGCCGTGTTCCGCCAAATCATAAGCTTTGTATGAGCTCAAGCGCGCAGCGGGGCGATCTAAAACTTATTTTTAGAATTATTATGCTTGTGATTCTTTCTTATCTCCGTTTTTAAAGATCACCCAAAATAAGAACATATCTGGAACATATTCCTAACTATAATGTTAATATCTGCAGATTTGACAGGTTTCGAAAAAAATTATAATCAAAAAAATTTATAATCGAAGAAATTTCGATCCTCTGTCTCTGAGAGTGACGTTATTATAATGATCATTATTTCACAATGCTAATCAATTGAAACAAAAAATTTATGAGTTATCTATAATTCTGTGTGCCTAAGGCCTTCCGGTCGCGCGCTTGCAGCAGAAGTGTCGCATTACTGCAAATAGCTGCCGTTGTGCTCTTTTGTATTCTGCTTGACTTTCTTTGATGCTTTTACTGCGTTTGCTCTATTTGTTTCGTTGTTACTTTCGTGCTTTTACTTAATTACAGCCACAGCTACTGCACGCGTATGCCTGTATGTATGTGCTGTTGTTGTCTGACTAATTTGTGCCGTGACTGATTTAAGTGAGCCATAGCCCTTAAGCCCGACTTCTCCCAACTATTAACCTCGTTCTCCCTTTTTACGTGCATCAACTCTGCTACTCTACTTTTTTGCACCTAATTACGGTACTATGATTTTTAATCCATTCGTTGCAACATGTGTTCCGATAAATACTCGACTACTGCACTTGGTTTCTTAATTGCCGATGAAATGAATCTCGGTATGGTATGGAATTTGAAAGAAATATAAAGGGTGATCCATTTTGAGGTAGGGAAAAAGAAAAAACACAGAAACTTCAAAGAACATTCTTTGACATTTATTTTTTGAAGATTATCTCTTTCAAATGTTGGTCGCGGCTACTTCTCAGATGGATGAAATGGTAGCTCTTAAATCTCCTCAGGCTGGTCTTCGTCACAAATGCGCAAATTTCGCCTGTTTACTTACCCATTGAGCCAGTAATGGGCCTAATCGTAGAATGAAATTTGTGCCCTAGTGAGTCGGATCTTGAAACATTTCAAAAACGTATAAGGCGAAGCGATGTCGTTTGGGAAGGTTGAACGGCTTCAGTTCTTGCATAAGCTGTAAACACAAGCTTTCAATTGAGCGAGTTGAGTTAAAATTCCTATAAGAATTTGCTTCTACTTTTCGATTGGATTTTCGGCCAATAAACTTCTCTGAAATTCTTTTTGGATTGATTCCACAGCTTGTTTATATTTGATTGTTCTCCATAGTTGCGTATCAGCACAACCCTGTCATTACCGAGATCGCAGTGCGTAGGCCCGTCATCGAACGCATTACATGACCATAAACATTTTTATTCTTAGAATTGCCACATTCAACGCCATTGGCAGCTGGGCTGTTGACTGCGCTTCACGCATCTACCAATAAAGCTCATTAGACTCTCAAATTGTTCTTAAAATTACCAAGAGCTTTATGGCAGGCGCCCGTTAACTGGCGAAGTTATCTACACATTTACCTAGGTATGTGTGTAAATCGGGTCTGCAGCCATTTTGTGCGTCTGCAACCTTTGACTTGCACATGGTCTGGCCTCTAGTTTACATGGCTGCCTCAAATAATGCTGCAACGTGATCTGAGTACAGGACGATTCCTGAAATTTTAATGCTTGAATTTTTTTAAAGGTTCAAGTTTGCGGATTCTCCGAAAAATAATATGCTCATGTGCATAGAAAACTGCTCCATTAAATAACCTATATCCTTAACTATTCCCTTGTGCTTTTACAGTGGCGAGAAACTTTGCGGCATACAAAATGAAGGATTTTGATGTCTTCTCATAAAATTTTAAAATCCACTTTATTTGTGTATGGGTAAAATAATACAGAGTCTTTGAAGATTTAAAAACGATCCATTTCCTATGTTTCTAAATGCAACTTCTTCAACTTGAGGGCAGGAGCGACATTTCCATTGTTCAAGATGATTAGGCATATTGTCACCACAGCCGCCGAGCGTGCTTTTGCCATCAAGTGCGAACCTCGTACGCCACATTTTTAATTCTTTCTATGAAAATTACTCATTCCCTAAATTGAGTTTTTTGAATGCAACCGCAAAACGAAACAGCCAACAATGTGAAGACATGTCTGGAGTGCATATACATATAGTATATACATACATATGTACGTATATACTTTGCCAGCCAAAAGCGTTGATTAAGAGGAGAGTTATGGTTGTTTAGAAAGTCGAGCCTCAAACTTTAGGGGTTGTTTTGGTTTCTTTGTGCAAATTCCTGGCGAGCGCACATTGAAGGACGCATCAAGAGATTTCAGTTAATTTTTCTAAAATTGAAAGCGTTTTGTATGATGACACTTGAAAAACTTGGGCGAACACAGCAATTTAGTCTTGCCGTGAGTGAAAAGGAAAAAGGGCAATTTTGATTGCATAATTCTTTAAACAATTACTTGCTTTGGTTACTGTTGTGGCCATTTAATTTGGGTTATATATTAAACTAGAATTGTTTTGACTATCCTATCTTCTAAGTTGGTTCGAACTGGGCACAGTGTGCTAAATCTTACTAAAATCGGTTCAGTAGTTTAGGACTCCATCGCGGACAAACAACGTGACACGTAATTTTTATATATAAAGATATAATTGATAATTGCTAGACTCATAAGAGTCCTTGTTAAGAGCAGCTAACCTCAATGCCATATTTGGTCAGTATTAATATAAAGTATAATTAAGAATTAGTATTCAAGTGAAACTTGTGAGGTACGCCGAAATTTAGAATAATCAACCGCAAATTATGAGAATTTCACGAATGAAAACAAAAGTAACATAATTTCCTCGTTCCCTCTCAGTTAGCGTCATGACATAAGGAGCAAGCCAGCGTGTGTGTGTAACTGTGTAACTGTGAAGAAGCCATCAATAAAGTGAGTGATAAATCGAGATATCGTGCAAAGTGGCCATAAAAGTGTTTACATGTGTTTACTATCAATTAAAAAGTGTCACAGCACTCAAGGTGATGAAGGAGCCGATAAATATTGATGCGCTTCTCTCAAGGCTTCCCTCATCCCCAGTGCTTCGTAAATAAATAACACCCTGCGGAACAGGAAGAAAATTCCACTGAGTTCTTGTGTGAGTGCGCGTGGGAGAAATACGGTCATCGCGTGTCACGAATGCGTTCAGTGAGCAATCAAAAGCGAAGTAAAGAAACCTCGTGAATAATTCAATAAGGAAACACAAAGTGCAATATAAATTGAAAGTCGCAAGTCGCGTACTTATGGGTATGGCTACGCCGCTGAAACGCCCCATAAATGACCTGTACAACAATAATTAGTTTGAAAGTGTAAAAAAATAATAACAATTTAAAAGTGCTAAGAATCAACTTATTATCAACACAGCAGTGGTACGGCGATACAAAACAACACAATCGCCGCTATGTCGATGCGCAGCAATAAGTTGAACTCGTCACAGTCGGCGTATCCGCCGCCGCCGCAATCGCCGCAGCTGCAATACCTGCCGCACCATCAGCATCAGCAACAGCTGCTGCAGCAATTGCAACAGCAACACAAATTCCAGCAGCAGCAACAGCAGCTGTCACAATCGCCGCCAAGCGTCTCACAACAGCATCAGCACCAGCACCAGCACCAGCCGCCCAACGCCACCAACAGTCGCAACAACTTGGCCACACTGGTCGCGGCCATCAACAATGAGAACGGCTATCAGCTGTCGGCGGCCACGGGCAACTCGCCAGCCATAAATGTGACATCGCCACCCTCGTATTCCGCAGCCATCGCGGCGGGCAACGGCACGGGCGTTGGCGGTGGTGGCGGCGGCAGCATGAGCGCGCCCATATTGGAGGGCCACAAGACGAATGCTTCACCATTCCAGTTTCTAAATCACTACCAAGCACAGGATCTGGCCAACATGCCAAACTCACAGTTGGTGGTGGATGGCGGCGGTGGTGTGGTTGCTGAGGACGATGTCGATGAGTTGGATCCGCAGCAGCAGTTGTGTGTGGTTGCCAAAATGCAGAAGTCTGTAACGATTACCGTTACGCCGCAGCGCAGCAACTCCATGGACTATTTGAATTTTGAGGAGAAACGTCAATTGATCGCTTCGTCACTATCCCTATCGGATATCTTGCATTGTAATCCAGCTGCGGCTGGCAAGGAGGCGGCTGCCAATGCTAATGGTGAGTTCAATTACACAAATTCCTGTGAAATAACCAAATAATGCCCGAAAATCAGTTGAATAGCTCATACACATGTAAATATGTCTGTGCGAAATGGGGTCAGCTCAAGTCATTAATTACAATTACTCGACAATATGGCAACTCAATAGCCATTAATTTGCATTTTATTAAATCTTAATTAATTCGAGCAAAAAAATCTGCACAAAAGTTATCAAAGAGGTGGGGTATTCAAATAATTAATTGTGTTAGTTCCAAGGACTTTCATGTGATCCTTGTTTTTAAAGAGTGATCCATTTTGAGTTTCCCTACTTTTTTTAAAGAAAGAAGACAGCAGCTTCAAATTTAATTTTTAATTTAATGGGAATTATTATCATTGTGCTTTCATTCTTTGGTATTTGTGTTTTGAGGATTATCTCTTTCAAGTGTTAGCCGCGGCAAAGTTTCAGATGGTCCACCCGTTGAGTCAAATTTCGCCGAGTTCACGAGCTTTAATTTCAGACATCTGTCAACACCAAACCGTGGTTTTTTCTGGAGAAATGGCAGCTATTTAATCTATTCAGATTGCGTCGTCCCAAATGCGGTAATTTCGCTTGTTTGCATACCCATTTCTGACAATGAATAAAATTTGGTTCGAAAAAGTCGGATCTTGTTGGAACTTTTTACGAGCCCATAGAGCGAATCGAGACACATCAGTCTTGAGTTGCAGCGAACGGCTTCGAAACGACTCCATGGTCTTCGTGAACACTCCCAGCTTCGGCTGCTATATTTTCTTCACTTCGTGCTAGCGTTTTCTATTCGTTCGAACATTATCCATTTATTATTGGATCTTTCCGAGAATATTCATTTAACAGCGTGCCGCTTGCGGTACTCCATGTACAAAGTATTATTGGAAAATATCGAGCAACACGTCTCAGAGTAAACTATATTACTAAGTGTTCTCTTAATACCGACTTTCAAATGGGCATACAACATTTTTAAATTTACTAAAACGTCGCAAGTTGATTGAATTTCAATTCCAAACGTCACGAAATATTTCTTCTCGGTACTCTTGATTTTACTTTTTATAGTCTGCACACGAAACGTGACTTACGAGTAATTATGTAATGCTCGTGAATTTCTATGTATGTAGCTTCGTTCGTGTATGAGCTTACGATCGAGTAGTTTTCGGCCAGATTACAGCAGTTTAGCACAGCTAAACGTAATCTACGATCTTAATACTACCAGTGATTACAATCGAATAGACATACAAATATACAAGAGTATAGCCAGGCCTTGGAAGCGTCCATTGATTGCGTTCGGACAATTGATTACGCTTTAATTGCACCCGATTGCGTAACAACAACACAACAAAATCAACTAATTGAACACGAAAATAAAAATCGTCGAAAAAGAATGCTCTCGAAAATAAAAGAAAGTAGAAGAGCAGACAAAAACGAATGCAGAGAAGTAAAAGGGAACTTTGGGCAAGACATTTTATTCCTTGCACTCCTCCTCGTGGCCCGAAGCGCACGATATATTCAATTCCAAATTCATTGTAGCGACGTGACTGGTTTCCAATTTAATTTAGACTGACACAATGTAGAGAAGCGGAGACAAGAACATCCACACAATTTCTTAAAATTACATAAAACTTAGAGAAATTCGAATAAAGTCCATGTAAATGGCTTGAGCAAAATGTACCGGCAAAAATTGCAGCACATCTCTTCCAAAGCATAAGTCGCTGAAATGGCGTTGGTTAAATTAAATTACGCAAAATGCGCTGCTCTCCGCCGGGAAGATTTGAGCACGGAATTTCTGACACTTTCGACAATTGAAAAATCTTGCTCGTCTGGCAATGCGGCACAGCGGAAGCAGCAACGCGTCCTCCCGCACTTCGCTCGCTATAAGCGGGGGCGCATACATACGCCCGTGACTCCTTTTATCTTCTCTTTTCTTTGGTCTTCTTGCGGTCGCTGTTTCCGCAGTTTATCGTCCCAAGCTTCTATTGTCAGCGAAAAGAGACGATGGCAAATGGTTTGTCACATTGCTGTCATTTTCCTGTGAGCAGAAATTCAATAAAATTCGCATTACAATGTAATCGCCACAATAAAAAGTGTTGGCATCCAACGCGCTGCGGTTTATGATTTCATCCACGAACTCCACACACATATGCGTAATAGCACGCTTGCCTAAGCATAATCCTGAAATGCTACCTACATATCTGTGGAGTAATTCAGAAATATGTGGATTTGACGGCAGACCTTGTAGTATAAGGCTAAAGCTAAGGCCTTGTTGTTCGGTCATCGCATAATGCACCGGCTGAACATCTGTTTTGATGATAGTGCTTGCACGACTCCAAATGTATAATATGTAGTTGAATAGAACTAATTCGAACTGATCTATAAAATAATTTATAAAATTATATTACCTGCTACGTCGATGCAGCGCTGCCTGCCCGATTTCCAAGCATTGGAGGCGTCACTGAAGGCGTTATCCGGAATAGCCGTGAGAGCACCTTGGACCCCCTCTGTCGTCTCAAAATGCTTGCCTTTCATGGGTCTTTTCAGCCAAGGAACAAGAAAAGCGATGTGAGCCGGGGCATTGTCGTGGTCCAACTTCCAATCGGCTGCGATGTCTGGTCGGAACCGATTGACGCTTCGTCTGTGTTTCTTTAGGACTTCCAAGTAAAACTCGGTGTTGACGGTTTGTCCAGTAGGAACAAAATTCATGGTGAACGATGCCTTTGATGTCAAAAAAGACAATCAGCTTTGTTTTCACTTTGGATTTGCTAATTTTTCCATTTTTTGGTCGAGGTCATCAGTGACTTCTTCTCGGCCCTCCAAAAAGGCCTGGTGTCACCGAAACACACCACTTTAATGTAAGCCTGCTTGATCATATCACATGTCTCTGTCGCAGATTTACTGAGTTTTACACAGACTTTAATCGGGTAACTCTGCTGTATGTTCGGCTTGCACCACTCACAGTAACACGTCGCGCAAAAATGTTTGTCCTGACTCTCCTGGTGGTCGGAGACAACTGACCAGCCGCTCGTTAGTTAGCTAGGAACGCCCTCTACCGAATCCAGTCGGTGCGCGCACGCTTCGAAGTATTGTCGCGGCGGAAGAAAATCAGTCCTATTATTTTCCGGACAAACCCTGTAATTCGTACTTAATTGAGTAGATATATCATGTCTCTGTCATATTTCATTCAATATAACAGTGATTATGGATCCTTCATTAAGTTGGGAGGAGAGCTCGGTCCAAACCGGCCACCGCTTTGTGCCTTATCACTATTATTTCATGATTTCTTGCACATGTGGACTCGTTACCACAAAACAATTGATGTAAAAACGGAGCTCGCTAGTCGGTTGGCTGTAGAACATGGTACCACTCACTATGTGTCGTCGGGCTTCGGCTTTGGACTGGCATTGTGTTGCCATTATTGTTGAAGGCAAACACAGGCGTAGTTTAAACAACGAATTCTCTATTTCTATAAAACAATTTTCATATGTATACGTGCATGTGTGTGTGCAACAATTTTTCTAACTTTATGATAGAGTTCGTTGTTATTGGTGGTGCAACTGTTGTCAGGCGAACAATGCAGTCATCTGTGCACATTCTGAAACAAAGCACGTCCAACGGCCAAACGTCGCCACTAATATTTGCGTAGCCACACACACACACACACACACATACTCACATATGCACATACATATCCATATTACTACTAACATATGAGTGTGCATGTGTGTAGCGTATGAAATGCCCTGCAGCCGATTTAACCATAAGTCCGTCCGTTCGCCCATCCTTCTGTCTGTCTATTTTTATCATTTGTTTGTGCTTCGGCTGGCTGCTAATAGTGTCCTCACTGCTGACTGTCAGCCTTTGTATGGACATGAACAATATTCTCTCACTTGTGCGCCGCTCCACCCTGCCTCGCCCATCTTGTGTATGCTACCTCACACTTGAGCGCCACAGTGTCGGCTCATGTCAATACCGTGCCGAACCGTATGTGCTCGTGCTTGCTCGTGTACAAGTAGCCAAAGTTAAGAATTAAGGACGCGCTTTGTGACGTCGAGTTGCATTGTTGTTGTCATCACATGACTTTCAACTGTTTGGCAACATTTTTTTTTGCTCTAATATCAATTCAATTTAAGGCTCAGCAGCATTTTTTCGTTTAGCATTTCACTCTGAATGGGTTAGGAGTGCACATGTGTATGTGTGTGCACACATATTCATATTCGGCTTTCCTGTTTTGGGCAACGCTGCTGCCAAAATACTTTTCGAATACATTAAAACTCGGTATTATGTTGTAGAAGTTGACATCTCTCTTATTTGATTGGGCTTTTGTTTCAAAGTTGAGTGTAATGTTTATTTGAAGCATGTTCAGCAGGCAAAATATGGCACTGGCTAAAGCTCTTCCTTTTCTAACAAAGGCAAATAAAAATTTGTGAAAATATCCCATTTCGTTATTTACTTTTGTTTATATTTTCCTTGAGACTTCCTGACAAAATTGTACATTTCAGCAAGATAATACACAAAGCCTCACTTAAACCTTTTTATCTTCCTAATTTTTTCTTTTTCTTATTTTAATACACATAAACGTTTGTCTACAGAACTATTTACGTACTATGTTCATGAAAGCATGATGTCTCCCACTTAAGCAAAAATAAATTGTATAATAAAATAAATATAAAACAATAGCTGTTATTGACTGACTCGCTTTATATCCAACACAGTTTTAGTTGGGAAATATGCCTTGGGGCTTCGTTTTGCAACGATTCACAAAAAACTTGGTTATAACAACTTTTTCTAGGTGTTTTTAAGCCTAGTCTGAAATAAAGAAAAACCAAATTTTTTCTCTCATTCCGATAGATTTTACCGTTAAAAATATTACACTAATATTTTAAAACTGTAACTCCAATAGGTTTTGAGTGACAGCCTTCTAAAACTTAAACGCCCATTTCAATCAGAATCAAATGAATTTGGTAGGCCAAAACCAACAAAATATTGAGTAAATTT